TGATTTTATGTAGGTATAGTTATTTATTGGCGTTGTCACGAATTATATTTTCTAAAATACTTTTTGTTTTTATAATAAAAATATCGTTATTTTTACAATAAAAATTTTTATATATTTGAACGTTTTTGAAAGTATATTTTTGAAAGTGTGCGTTGGTTGTGAAAAATTAAAAATGTGAAGTTTAAGTCGTATAAAATTACAATTTTTGAAAAGCTGTGAACACAATTTTTAGTTAAATTATATGACACGAGGCAGCGATTCCTAATGTTTATATGACCTAAATACTGAGATAATCTAATAAATTAACTTTAATGTAATTAAATGCAGCATCATCCACTAAATATCACTCAAAATTTTAAATTATCAAAGCACACTCTTAAAGATAAAATTTTATTTAAAAATCTCGAAAATTATAGGAAATGTTGATATAAAAATAATAGAAATAAAAATAACTTTCTTATACAATAATATGAACTAAACATGTATAAAAACGAGCATAACAAACATGAAAACTGACAAGAAAGAATCACTTATATTTGCAAAAGTATACACAACAACTTTAATATATAAAGACATGACTAAGTTAGTGTTAAATCAAATTATTATCCTAGGAATACGTTAGGGAATAATAAACAGGAAAGAAAAAACGAAAAGAAAAGAAAAAATAAATAAATAAATTCACTCTTTTGCCCTCTTAACAAGAATAAAATCAGACAAAAAGGCAGCGATTACGAAGATGCCATTGACGCGTTTATATAGTAAAAACAATCAAAAAGTAAACAACAAAAGCTGCAAAAAATCAAAACGGATTTCTTCTTAAAAACGTTAGAACTGAATTCCATATGAAAACAATAGTTAGTCACTGATTTATTTCTTTGTTAGAATACGAATGAATATTATAATGTCTATATAGTTTTATAGGCAAAATTTTGATGAGTCAGATGTGAGTAAAATTTAATGCTAATGCTAAAAACGTGGAAAAAATCTTATAAATATCAAAATATTTAAGAATTTATTCATATATATTTTGTAAAATAATTTCATGAATAATTTATCACATGTTTGAAGATTTTTTCTTTCAGCCCCTGATATTCCGTTATTTGTTAAATTTCATGCATTTTTATAAGTCTATTTAAAGTATTTAACAAAATTTACAGAATATTTGAATATTTGAACATATTACAATGTGGAATAAAGTTTGAAACCCGGCGTAATATTCATTTACCCGCAAGGTAATACTCATTTAAACTGCAAGCGACGTAAGCATTCAGTTCCATAGCGGTTTTTTGGCGACTATAAAAAAGTGAAAACCTGCATTGTGTGGAAGGACACTACGAAAACGATCATGAATTTCAACTGAATTAACAAATTGTTTCAAATATTGGGTCTTTTACAGTATTGATTTAATGAAAATTTCAAAATCCCATCTTCTCTATTCAACAGTTTTACTCTATTAATATTAAACTATCCTATTTTATAATCAAATGTCTAATGTTAAAATGTTCGTAAATTCTCTATAGATTTTTTGCTTTTTTATATCTTAACGGTAAAATTTTAATTGGCCTAAATTGAATTTTTATAAAAGAAGAGATCAGATAAAAAAATTTCTTTTAGTAGATAAATTTCTTTTTTAAATTGCCTTAAACAAAAAAATCTTATCGAAAAATTGTATATAAAAAGTTCAACTTGATAAAAATTGACAACATTTTTATGGAAAATTTTTTTTTTCCCGTGAAAACTTCTTTTAAGCATAGAAATCAGATTTTGCAATTTTTTTATATTTTTTTTTTATTTTCCGTTTTTGTATCCTATTTAAAGTATTACATATAAAAACTTTTGTGCTTTCGATATCAAAATATCAAATATTTTACTTGAAGTTTCTCAGTTTTTAAAATATTTTCAAAGAACTTTTAAAAATAAATTTATCATTTTCATTATGGTTGTCCGTTTTTACATAATATGTATACATAAGTATATATTATATTGACGTATATTGTATTTTTTGAACTTAGTATCAGTATATTCTAAAAATTCTTATTGCTTAGCGCTTTTTATGTAATTTCCTATGTAAAACGTTTGTAATCGTAATTTTCATTGTTCTTAATATGTCAGGAGAAAACTTGAATTTATAAAATTTGTTCTTCTTATGAATATTTGTTTTTAAAAACTATTGGATTGTAAGAATATGACAAGTTAAATATATGTAGATTTTAGAACTTTTTGTCTGAAAAAAGAAAACATAATACTGTTTTAATTTTGGCTTGCATGTCAATTATTGTACCTCTTTTATAGAATTATTCTCCTTACTTTTCAATTAGTAATAATATGTTTACCTCCAAATTTTACCTCAAAAGTCAAAGGCTTGTAATGCGCTCTTATAAAAACCGTTTTTACACTTCTAACCTTTTTTGTTTTATTTTTTTCCTTTACTCTTGTTGGTCTTTTTTTTCCTTTTTTAATATCACACCTTTATAAGACTGAAAACAAGAATCTCAGAAAAAGAAAAATTTAAGTATAAAGGTATAAATGTCCCGTTATGTTATGTGTACGTTTTTTTATAAATGTCAAAACGATCTGTGATAATTTTTCATATACATGTATGTATTCTTTACTCTTCATCGGTTCCTTTTAAATTGCAATTTTTTTTCCCATTTATTCTTTTCTATTCAGTGCTATAAATGGTTCTGATTTTTATACGTTTGCTCTCTTTTCTAAATATTTCTTTTAAAAAATCAATCTTTAATAGTCACACCATAATATATGTGTGCACATATTGAAAGAATCAAAGAGATTTTTCAAAAAAAAAAAGAAAAAGAGAAAGAGAAGTTATAGCAACTTAAAATGATACAATTTGGTATACAATTCTGAATAACTCTTCCCTTCTTATAAAGTAAACACGTAGAAATTATATAAACATAACGTTTCATACAGTTGATCGTTACATTATTACGTCAAAATAATATGAACATAATATAATTACGGAGTTCCAGGTAAAGCAAAGTAAATGAAAAATTTGGGAGCGATATTTGCGCCACATGGGCGAAGTTACAAACATCGATTTTTTCCGAAAACAATTTTTTTAATATGCGATTAATGCCTGATTACAAATACTTTACGTAAAAAAGACGATGGGACAACGCAAAAGTTACGTTTTTTATTTCCACTCATAGAGAACAGAGCCCCTTAGGCTGTTCTCAAGTCGACCCATAGGATCATCTGTGATCCAGCTACACTAACACTATATCAAGGGCCCGGACAAATTGCAATCGGGGTCACACAGCCTCTTCTAAAGAATCTCAGTCGTTCTCGCATTCGCAAAATAAGTGCTCCACCGTTTCGTTTTCTTCCAGGCAGGAACGGCAGACTTCGCCCTCCATCTTGCCATCATTTTCAAATTGAAATTCACCAAATGCAGCTAGTTTCGCCCCTCGTCTCAGATGTGCCTTCCGGGTAGATCCATCACGTAAGTCCTCACTTTCACCTTCGAACCGAAGTCCAAGGATAACGCCCATGTCCTGAATGTTGTTGATCAACCTTAGTGGCCTCTGAGGCGTTAGATCCCTGTGTTGTTTTATTCGAAATGCTCGCTTCATAGCCTCCTTTTTAAGAGGAATACGAAGTGGAGCTATGCCAAAGAGACCCCTCATCGAGTCCTTAAATAACACATTACAAAGGCGCTACAGTAGCGTGAGAGCGGCCTGTTGAGCCTTCTGGAACCATTTGACAGAAGAGTATATTACAATTGGTAGGACAATGGCAGTGTAGGTCGAATGAACCATTTTAGGTTGTACATATTTTACACATTTATCTATTAAATATTTCTGTCAATAACTGCTACAATAAACTGAACCACTCTATGGTGAGTACATCTACCTATATTACATGTGTACATAAATAATAGTATTTTTCTTATGAATATTACTAAAGATGTTAACCTAAAAATTTATCTTTTATAAGGAAAAAGTTTTATTTTTAGTTCATGTCACACATTATATATGGAAGGCAAATCGATTTGAAAAAGATGCGAGAACATAAAATAACATTTCACCTCATTTGAACCTGTACGAAGCACACAATTATTGAAGGATCTTAGAGAACATTTTGTTTTTATATTGGTACTTTTGTTTATTTTCTTATTATTATTATTTTTATTGTTATTATTATTATTCCTTTGCTGAATACCATTTTGTTGTTTTTGCAGTATGTACTTTTTTTGGTGTGAATGTGAAGTTTGTCGTTGTGTTGGTATATTATGCATTATAATAACTTTTTTTTCAAAATAAAAAACAGAATTACAAAAACGAAAAAATATAAAATGTCGCGAGTTATAAGATTTCTATTGTCGTGTAATAAAGTTTTAACATATTGGAAATTGTATGAGCAGAAAATGTGAAAAAAGATTTAAAAAAAGTTGAATTTCGTTTTGCTCAAGGGGTGAAAGCAATATAAAATATTTATTGGTTTTTTTAGTTTTATTTCTGCAAGTATTTTCCGACAGTACATTGGAAATCAAATTTAAAAAATAAATTTTAGTAAAAATGAATTAGAAACTACTTTCAATAATATTTTTCTCTTAACTTTTTGAATATTTTTAGGACACATGGATACTGCCATTATATTTGAAGCTGCATTTTAATGGTGATCAGTTATATAGAAAATACCAAAAGTTGTAGCTAAAATTAGAACACTTGTATTTGAAGATATTAGATGTGAACACTTGTGTGTGAAAATGTGTTTAAAGCAAGTTAAAAATCTAAAAAGTATAAAATATGAAAAGCATGACATACTCGTGGACGGAATATCTTTTTTGGTAAGTAATACTAATCATACGATAATGCGATTTGCTTCAATAATAAGACAAAATGAAAAAACCTAAATGAAATTGATATTTTATAATATTTTACAATATTTAATTTATGTATATGTTTTAGTGGACCTCCCATAATCTAAGGAACGTAATTTAATTCCTGATAATAAAAAATATAAAAGTCTATACGAACCTGATATAATCATATCACCCCGTTCTGTCGTCCAATAATTGATTGAAGCTGGATACGCTTCCGTTTCACATTCCAATGTTACTTCTTGTCCAACATATGCACCTTCCAATTGATTTGCTATTGACAGCATTGGTGGAACTATTATAATTTAAAAACAATTGAATTGTTAAATTTAGAAACAGTTTTAAATTTTTTTTTCTAAACATATTATACAAATGAGTTTTACAATTTTTTGTTGTTTCCTGAAATAAAACAATTTATTGTAAAACCGAAGAAAAAACAAGTATCAGGAAATATTTTTTTATTTTATAATTATGATAAGGTAAATGAGGATATAACGCAACTTATACACCTTGATGTAAAAGTAAATGAGATTTTTGAAGTTAATTGAGTCACAAAATTTTTCATTAGTTGGTTTTACTTTCAACACAGTATTACAGCAAATATTTTAATAATTTAGGGGTTTTCATAAAAGAAAAATCAAAACTATTTCAAATTCTTTACAATTTCAGACTTTTTTCTTATTTATACTAATATTAAAAAAGGCTAAAACCGATTTATTTTAAAATTTGATGTGTATGTAAATCAAGGAATAACAATAATACCAAAATTTTGTAATGTAAAATAAAATTGATTATTATCTTAATAAGTTTAGTATCGATGTATGACTTGATATTTCAATTAAACCTATAAATTACTAACAAAGTATTATTCTGTATATCAATGACTATCAATTTAAATAACAAATTCAAATGAAATTTTAATATTTTTGTGTAGATGAACATGATATTTTAATGTTTCGAATATAAACATTTATGATAGTATTATACAAAATTATAAAAAAAAATTTATATTTTTTTATTATAAAATTATTAACTATACTAATGAGAATATTTTTACTGAAAAATATGTATTATAACAAAAAATGTACGTAATACATCAATTTTTGAAAATTTTCTTTTGTGATTAATAAAAATTTATATCAAAATTTTAGGTTTATCCTTTTTATCATTGAAAAATACAGGGTTAAATATTGATAGTGTAATGGAAACCAACATGGATTTGTTAGTTAATGTAAAGGAAACAAGCTTGAATGTTTTATTGTGGAATAAAATTTCAAGAAGATAATAGAAGACTTAGGTTTCGATAAAAAATCATATAGTTTGAATTAGGTCACATATAATTTACTTATTTCGCGTTTTTAATTTGTTAAAAGTTGTAGATTATATTTTATGTCTTACTTTGAGATTGCTTTGCATAGCTTTTTTTGATTCTATAGCACAGGTGGTATGAAATTAAACGTAAGGCTTTACATATCTAAACTAGTGTAAATGTATCTAATTACCTTACTTAATTTAGTTGTATTGTTATTTTTACTATAATATGTGAAATTTCCTGCTCCTCTCATAGATAGTAACACGAGAATGTTTGAACACAATAAAACTTTAAACGAGTAGAATATTATTTCCGTTCAATCACTTACATAAACTTATTTTATAATTTTAACATTGTAAGTATTTCTTAAGGATTTCCAATAACTTATTTTAAGTGTTATATTTGTGAAAATTGAAATATAAATTATGATCTTAAGTACAAATGTAAGTTTTTAAAGTTTTACGGTTTTCTCTCTGTAATTTATTTCATATTATCTTATTAAATTGAATAGATTAAAACCCTGTATTGATAAATTTTTTTAATAAAAAAAACCAGTATTAAATAACAATAGTAATATCCTTGAAATGATCAAAATCAATTTAGCAAGGGGATATTGAATTAAATCAATCAATAATTTAAAATAGATTTGGAAAATTGTATAGATAATTTTGGCTTTATAAAGATAATCATGATAATGAACACACTTTATCCATTTATTAAACATAAATAATTTAATAATACACACACAAATATATATAAAATATATAGCATCAGAAAATAACATACCATATCATCGTAAATAATAATGGAAATTGATACCATAATAAATATTCGATTCAATGACTGACACGTTATTTATAGATAATTAAATTCGATTTCAAAATTTTGTGATAAATATTATTGTCATGAATATAGAGTTATTAATATATTTTAGTACTCGTATATAACTACAAGTATAATTATAATTTATTATTAAATTAAAGATTTGTTAAATACTATACATATGTACTATACTATACTATACTATACTATTTTAAAAAAACTTATTGGTAGTATTAAATTAAATTATCTAACCATTTAAATTCAACAGATTATTTTCTATCGACAAACTTCATTATTCGAAACAACACGAAAAATTATTTTAATTTATGGTGGTGATTTGTAATTACATTAAAAGAAAAATACCATAAATTGAAAACACTTATACTTGAGCAAAAGCTATAAAATTAAACGAAAAATGCATTCTTAAATTTACATATTTTTATGTATTTTCTACATACTCGAACATAAGCAATGTATAAAGCAATACTATAATGGCCCTATTGGAGTGATAGTTCAATTTACCTATTACCCTGAAATTGTTTAAGCAATGAAAACTGTACTTATCGTGATAATGAAAAAGCTACTTTTAAGTTCGAACATGATTTTAAGTTTCAAGAAACATATTAATATTAAATATTTAATTCCATTAACAAATCCTTCATGTTCATTTATAATACATACATAAAAATACATAAAATTCATACAAATATAATAAATTACATACATTGTACGCGTAAATGAACGCGTTTACTGATAGATGGTGGCACACCATTCGATGCAACACATAAATATGCTGCCATATGCAATCGGCTCACTTTTGTTATTTGCAATATTTCTCCATCAACAACATTTACTAAAAGAAAAAGAAAATATTAAAAAATAATATACATATATTTTTTTTTAAACGTTATTAATTTAGGTTTTCCAAAAAAAATATTTAGTGAATTTGGTAGATTTATTTATGCATAACATAATAAGTATAAATATTTAAAATAAACGACTTCAAATTTTTTGTCGCCAGATGACGCAGGAAGTCAGAACAATTTTGGTGTAAAAAATTGTTATTTAACCATATGAAATTTATATTCAGAAATTTATTGATAAATAAATTAAAAGCTTACAGAACTATAAAAATAATTACGATTTTAATTCGATTTAAAATAGGAAAAAAATTTCAGGCTGAAAAAAAAATTTATTTAATGGAAATATTAAAAAAAACTGGTTAAAATTTAAATTTTAATGAAAATTCTAAATTTCATTAAAAAATTAAAAAAAAAATTGCATAATATGTTGCAAGTCCGTTTAGTTTGATGTTTTTATGTATTTGTGATTTTTAATTTTGATATTTGAAATTATATTTTATTTGGAAATTTTTGCTTTTTGCAGCCCCTAAAATTATTCAGATTATTGCCAGTTTATATGATTTTAAAATTCAAATGAGTTTGATTAACAAATATATTTGTGTAATTTTCTTAATTTTACAATATTATTAATTTTCATTTAAACTTTATCCTTTAATTTAATAATTTAATAATTTTATTCCCCCATTTGCGGTATAGTTCTTGTATTATTTTAAAAGTTTCTCTGGCTTTTAAATTTTGTATTTATTGATTGACGTCAGAATATTTATTTGTAGATACTATTTTTCTCATTTTATTTCATAAGAAATGTCACTTTACACAATATGCATTTAAACATCTTTAAAGTTTTCTCACAATGTAAGGATTTTATACTTTTAGATTAATTAGTATAAATATTTTGATAAAACTTTCAAAAAATCGTTTGAAAGCCCGTAGCTTTTATAGTTTTGTATTTTTTAAACTCCTTTTTGTTTCATTTCACAAATCTCTCGTTTAGAATGCCATTTTCGTCTTAAATAATACGAAAGAGACTTGTGCGATTCACACACATATTAAAAATATTAAAAAGTTACATACGTACATAACTTTAAATTCATATGTAACTAATATTTATTTATTGATTGTTTCGTAACAATTTATGAGATCGCTTTATTTCTATTTTAAAACAATCAAAAAATAAAAATACAAAAACTATTAGAATAAAATTTAATGAATTACTTGCGTGTTTTTTTAGATTTATTCAATTTAAATTTTAATAATTTATTGTTTTCAATTAAAATCAATAATTTATTAATTAAACATTATTATTTGAATATTTTTGGTTTCATATAGTTGTAATTTAAATTTATTTATATCTATAGATAAGTCGTTATTGGATTTTTTTTTGTAATTTTTGCTAAAAGTTCAAATTAATTTGTGTACAGGAGTAATCGATATAAAAATAATTTATTTAATTACAAAAAAAAATTGGGGAATGGCAATAAAAAGTTTGCCCGGGCAATTTAATTTATACTATGTTGGGTATTAGCGAATTTTTCATTTAAGTTAAGGATTTCTTAGAGAATTTTTAAAAAAAGTGGCTGTGAGGAATATATAATAACATATAGTTATAAAACCTCTGTTAATAACAATTAGCTCTCATTACATTTAATTTAGCCTGGCAGTTTTAAAAAAAAGTTCAGAATTTTAAATCTGATTCAAATTGCATATAAGGAGTTCTTTATTACCCCAATAAATTTACAAATTCTAATTACTCGGGAAAACTTTTTAATGAAATAAAAACCGACTATGTTATTAGATTATTTAGTTAAATGAAAGAAAAAAACCCAATAAATAAATAATAGTTAATAAATTTTAAATTAATTTGAAATATAACTAGACAATTTTGAATACAAAAAAAAAAAACAAAAGATAAACATTAATTTGAAAATATTTTTGCAAATTTCACATAATCTGAATAATTAACGGAATTGGATTTTTCATTTAATAACCAATTTATTATAACATTAATTATTAAAATTTTGTGTTTCAATTAAACTGCAAAGGTATTTAAAAAATTTTTAATTTACAAATTTACTAATTAATATTTAAAAAATTACAATGTCATAACTTTTGAAATACATATTTTAGAAAATTTTTTAATCATAATTATTTTGTAATTCCTTTTGTATTTATTTTTTTTTTTTAAAGAATATTACAATTTCTGTTTTTTCATTTATAATGACGACCAATATCAATTTTAGCCGCGAATATTATGTGCAACACAAATACATACATAATTTTTATAATTTATGTGCCAATTATAGATTATCTAAGTTCGTTTTTGTACTCGTAATAAAATATTTTTTAATTAAGAAATTTTATTTTACAGATGACTAACAAAATTTCTGGAGTAACAAATGTCTGTGGAAGTAAGCAAAATCTGTGGAATGCATTAAAGGTATAAGAAGCGCATAAAGAATTGTCCGCTCAAGAAATATCAAGTTATTGTGTTGCTGTTTTACAACAATTCAAAAACATATTTGTAAATCGTATTGCTCACAGCTTACATTGTTATATTTTACACAATCACCTGCTACGAAATGTCCTTTTGTGTTTTAATTGTTTAAAAAACCATATACATGCGTATGTATTTAATGTAATTAATTATCTATTATAATGCTGAAAATTGTTATCAAAAAAATATTGTAACGTGTAGCATACCATTTTCACCACCAATATTCATTTCTTCACCATCTTCTCTTCTCCACATAACATAAGGTTCTGGGTAACCGCGTGCTTTACACATTAAGGTTACATTTGTACCTTCTCTAACTACCATATCGTTACTTGTCATACTTTCAATTATCATTGGAGGCACTAAAATTGAAAAATAAATTTTAATTTCATTTAACAATAATAAATTTTTATAATAATAAAAATATAATAAGCATAAGGCAATCCTTTTTCATCCAATTTATTTAATTATTTCTCGTTAAAGTAATAAAAATGTCGTATCATGGGAAAAGGAAGGTATACATATACATATATAGTATACGTATTCATATATATACATATATGAATACGTACATATTAATATGTAAGTACGTATGTCTTAAAAATAGGTAAAATTTATAGCCCGAAAATGTCAAATTATAAAGCCTTGGAATTTTTTTTCTATTTGAAAGTTGAGATTTTATCCTTAAGTTATCATCAATTATTATCCTGTTATGACTCAATATATTTTTCTTCTTAAAATGTACATATGTATGTAAAATATCTATACAAATGCGTACATACATATTTATGTATATGAAATTTATATCACTTTGTAACATATTATGTTTACGAAGAAAATGAAATACATTTTACTTATGTACTAGCTGCGTATATTCAAGAAAATAACAATTTTAACCTTATTCTTGGAGTTGAAGACTCCAAAATATTTCTTTAACATTTGAGGAAGAAGAAAGTTATCAAAAAATGAAGAAAGAAGGAATGAAAACAAAACCAAAAAGATTGAATTTATGGCCATTTCATTTTGTTAACACCACATATGTTAGTTGAATGGCATTATTTCTATCACCTCATTCCAAAATAATTTTCACAGAACAATTTCGTTAATATACTCTTTCACATTGGAATTTTAGATGAAAATGTTAACCTTTTTTCCGGTATTTTTCTGGGTAAAAATATTTCTAATTTTTTAGATCTTTAAATCTCCTTTATATATGTGCGCTTCTATGTTTTGTACAAAGTATTTAATAAGGTAAAGAAGTTTATACAAGTAGTTTACAATATAAAAATTAAAATAAATAAACTTGGATAGCTTCTAAATTAGCACATTTCTCTTAAATCAGTGATATTAATTTTTTTAATATAATAAAATAATGTCTTTTTGTATACTTTTAGTAGCGGAGACAAATTAAAAGAATGACATAATAATTTAATATCGGAAATACTTTTTAATTATATCATAAGATCTAATAATACATATATCAATTAAGGACCTGAAAAAGAAAGAAAACAATTTGTCATCTAAGAGAAAACAACGCTAAAACAAACTGATTATACAACTATTTGAAACAGCCACCTCGATGCAATGACGTTTGCTGTGAGTTTGAAAAGTATTTGTGGTTTTTAACGAAGTATTTAATAATCACAATTCTAGAATTTATTAGGAACTGATGAATAGATGAACAAACTGAAATTAAAAAGCACATTTTTTCAAAATTTATTGAAAATATACTTAGAAAGAATACAAACATACAAAAACATGATGAGAGACCTTGTAAATTAATGGTGTAACACTTGAAGAAAGTTAACTTTTACCGGCATTTTAGATTAATTTGGTTACCTATATAATTATGGTATTATTTGGTTATGTCTTAAAAAGAAGTGTACATAATTCTATTTAAAAAAGTTTTTGCAAGATGTTACTTTCTAAGTAAAATAGTAACATGTACAACCTGAGCGTAAACGTAAATTTTATGTAAATAAATATGATATTATCCATATTGAAAAAGAAGATCAGTTCCTCTCAAAAATGAAATCAATGAAAAAAAAAACTTCTACGCTTTCAAAGTCAATGAATTGATTTAAGGAAAAATATTAAATATATCAAAAATATCAAATTTTGGAGCTATGAGTAATTTATAGTTGTATGCACGTCAACATAGTTAACATCACCCTTTGAAATAAAATGTTTCAATAAATGTTTCTTAATTTTGCAATGTTGGTTGAAGGATTATGAAAAGTTTTTCATTTTTATATTTCTTACATATTTCGCTGGGTATGTTTTTGGTTATGCTCAGCAAATAGAGGTGCGTCAAGCACAAAAAATTATACAGAGCTGCTTAAAAAGAAATCAACTCTTCACAATGATAATTTATATCTCTTTCCTGGTCATTTTACCCAGGTAAAAAAAAAATTTTATTTCATTTAAATTTTTCACAAAACATTAATTTTATCTTCTTTTTTTTTACCTACAACTTGAAGATATCCTTTCCTTGATCTCATTGGATCTGTATTTACTTGGCACATATACCATCCACGATCTGTTTCTTCAACTTCCTTTATATGTAAATACCAAGATCTATGGTCGTTGTATGATAAACTTATACGAGAATTTTGTGTTATCACATTGTGATGTATTGATAATATTGTTTGTGTATCGACTCGTACCCATGCTACCTGTTGGTTTTATATGTAAAATATTATTGTTTACAATTTACATAAATGGCAATTATGTTAAAAGAAAATAAGAAATTGTATACTTCTATTCAATGTAAAAGTTTAATACGTGTGTACCATTAATAATAGCACTTTACAGTGATAACAGTATAAGAAATAAGAGGAAAAGCAAAAAAGGATATATGAGTAGTTATAATAACAATAATATTATAGTGGGAAAAAATTTCTTTAACCTTTAAGGAAAAAGGATAACATAATATTGTTATGTAATAACATAAAATACTTTTAAATTTAATATTGTTTAAAATTAAATATGAAAGGAACTTTTTTATAATGCACGAATTTACAGTATCGAATAAAATTTGAGTGACGCAAAGTAAAGCCAGAAATCAAATGAAAAAAAAATGCTTCAGCTCTTATGAATTAAATTATGAAGTCCTCTCTATACACCAAATTGAATGATAACTCCTGCAAACGCGGAGTTTAGAATATGAGTTTAAACAGGTTGTCTGATGCCATGTTTCAATTATAAGTTTTCTATAGTAATAGTCTCGTATAAGTTTTCGCTATCTTTCGACATATTTTCTTTCATAGCTTAAAATTATTAAAACTATGAAAATTGAAATTTTAGTGTTTTGTCATATAAAATACATAAATGATCAATATCTAGATTTTATTCTTTCTGATATTATTTTTAATGCTAAATATTTACTCAATATTGCAATTTGAATTTAATTTTAAAAAATCTTTAACACCAGGAATTTAAATATTATAGAATAAAAAGAATAACTGGAGCAAAGTGTTGTTTATTGAAGAAAGAAAACAAAAAATATAAAAGAAAAATGAAAACAAAAACAAAGTAAAAGGATTTTAATGTGTCAAAAGGAAATGGTATGCATATAAATTTCAAGGTTAGAATAATTTGTTTATAAGTTATCAAAACGACCTGAGGTGTAATCTATCATGTTGTAAAATTAACAAAAGAAAAAAATATTTTCGAATAAACAACAAAATTTATTTAGGCTGCTTAAATTCTGTTTACATTTGCAAGCATTATCCTTGTACTACAATAATGAATACTTATTCAGAATTACTATATGTATGTAATAATGTATACTTCAATGTAATATAATAAATAGACATATGTATGCACATAAAAATTGTGTACGTTCCTAATACCGTTAAGATAAATTAATCATTACGACACAAAAAGAAACAAGAAAAAAAAGAAAGAAAAAGGACATGTCATTATTCCTAAGTGATATTGTTTACATTGAATAGGGTAGTAAATTAATGCATGTATATGTAAAACAGATACATAAGTACGTAAGAATTTCCTTTTAATAAAAAAGCAGAATTATTTTGAATGGAAAATGGAAGAATATGAATAAGAAATTTAAGAATGATAAAATATTTGTTGTTAATGTTTTAAAACATATTTGTTGTCAACATTAAAGTACAAAAACTAATTTAAATATTAAAAAAATGTTCTAAATTAATAAATGCTTTAGTAATTTCAAGTTATTTTAAAGATATTGAATTGAATATTAATTTAAAATTTTTAAGCACCTGCGTTAAGATTATTAGGAATTATTTGTAAAACTTAAGAACATAAGTCTAGAATTTAATAAGTTTAGAATGTATTTTATTTTAATTGTAGTTAATTTATCGGAAACATGGTTTTGAAAAAATTTAAGATTAAGTTAATAGAATTAAGATAGAAATTTGTAATGTGTGGAAAATTACTATATCAGCATTGTAAAATGTCATGAATATTTTCTGTATATCTAAATCATGTCACTAATATCTGTATTTCTAAATCAAGTTACATTTAACAAGGAAAACTTTAACAAAAACTTTAAAATTAAGCCAACTTTAATATTTTCTTTTATTACATTAAGGATCTATATATCAAAAATAGACTAAAATGAAGTTCTTTGGAAGTGGAAGTTGTAAAACGTCTATAATTGTCATTAGAATATCACTTAGTATAGATATAAGGAATACTTAGATCAACCAACAATTATTTTTTATATTTTCATTTATTAGAATTTTTAGTTTATTTTATTATCTTGCTTTGCTAATTATCGAATAAAATATTGTAATTAATTTAAGGCTCACACTAGCAGTCTTAAATACTTATGTAGGTAATTTATTGTAACGTAATTTATAAAATTGTTCCATAAAGAATACAATATTTTCCTTTTAGGTTTCATATAAAAGAATTCTGATAAATGAAATCAGATTAAATATTTACAGAAATAGAATAAAGATTTTACATACGCATCTATATATATGAAGGCATATTATTTACAATAATATATTGATATACATATGCTTTAGGAAAAAACATACGCTCATTTATTCCAAAGAATTCTATTGAACTTCTTATTAAAATTCTTAGAAAAGTTTTAAAACTGATATTAAATTTTGCTTTTAACATAACTTTATCTCTTGTTTTCTTTACAACTTTATAACAAAATTTAATTTAATTTAAATGTAGGTAATTTAAATGTAAATGTTTATACATTATCGAATACGCCATATTTTATTAAATTTAATTTTTTTTTAATATAACAAAACGTTTAAAATCATATTAAGTTTCTATGTACCTATACAAAAAAAGCTCAAACCAATGATGAAGAACAAAATTAGATTTTTATTTTAATAAGAATTTAAACACAAGCGATATCTCAATATCATGAAATAAATGTGTCGACTACGAATATTGAAAGCTACAAATTCATGGTCGTATTATAGCTATATAATTTTTATTGGATTAATTTATTTAGTATTTGATACATGTGCACAAAATAATTTACCTTGTATCCTTTAAGGTTTTCAACAACACAAGCCAGTAGAGCATCTCTCCCAACTGATACAGTAACATTTGGTATAGGTTCAGCAAATCTAGGCATACTATCATCTTTTATATTTTAATATTCAGCATTATTATAGGAAGGAGATAAATTTTATTTATAATGTGTTATTTTTATAGCAAAAAAAAAATCATTTTATTAAAAAATATTTGTGTATGTGTTTCAAAAAATTTCAATTATTAAGCAGTAAAATAGAAATGAGTAAAAATAACTTACCGTTGGCTGACTGTGTGTCTGATATTCTGGTTAGTTGTTTTCCTGAAAAATTCAAAAGTATAACTTAGTTTTGGTTTTAAAAATCTTAGATATGTATAAATTTATAGTTAAAATTCTTGTTATTTTCAGTAGAAACCTAGTAGCTAAATAATATTTTATTTCTGTAAAATGTAAATTAATTTTGAAAATTTTTACCAAAACAAATTTAAGTTGCGTGGGATTGTTAATTAAATTTCTACATATTTTCTTCGATTAGTTTAATCTTATTATATATTGTACATAATTACTATTTTAGAGTTATAGCAATAACTCATAGTGGGTGAAAAATAAAAATTTCTATCTGAAAAAAATTTAATATAAATAAAAAAATTTCTCTTTGCGTTTTTATTAATATTATATCTATTGACAGTAATTATTAATATTACTATTAATAGAGTTTGAACACTAATATGTTTGTGCAAGGAAAATACAACAGGGAAAAATATAGTAGAACTGAGCATAACATATTATAATAGGAAGTTATCACATGGCCGATCACGAGTTTTGTACGAAAATAGTTACTCTGCTAATGAAAATGATTTTCGTAGTTGTTTAATTTTTTATTCGAGCTAATTTTTAAGACATTCGCCAAAAAAATTATGCAAAAAGAATCAATAATTTGCAAAATTAAGTTAAAAATAAGCAATCAAATGGGTATAGTGTTACTATAAATTAAGTTCATAAAGCCCAAATTTTTTGTTCTATTGTGGTAGTTCAAAGGTGTTTTTTTTTGTTTTACTTGTCGTCGGTGTTAGACACATTCTTTTGATTTACGTGTTTATAACTCTTAACCTTAAGTTTTTTTCAGCAAAATACTAATAAACGCAGCAAATTTTATAATTTAAATAATTTTTTACGACTTCACAATTTTCATATGCATTTATGACTAATTAAAAAAAGACGAAAATAAGGATTTAATTCTATAAAATATATTTTGCATTGTAAATAAACATAATTTTCTTTTTAAAACCGTCATCTTTGTTCTATTTTTATATGAAACACATTTTAACTTAGTTTGATAAAATGTCCATTGTTTTATGTCTGCTATTTATATTTTTTTAACGAAACAAATAAATAATCTTTTATAAAATATGTATTAACCCTTTATAGATTCCAATCATGTCAATAAATACCTATTAAGTAAAAACGACAACAATATTATGAAAGCTATAGAGAAGGGAGTCGGGTGGGTGAATATAAAAAAAATAAAATAAATGTAACCATAAAACTGTCTAAGAATAATAAACTTTTCGTAAACACATTTTATATACCCATTACAATCAACACTCGTAAATCAAATATACACACAAATCCTTAGAACAATTTATAATATTTCCTTTGAGTTCATGTTTCTCAAAACTCCGTAGTAGTTTTTATTCAAATATGATTTGCATTTATTTTTTTTATTCCTTACTTGTATATAAAAACTGTTCACTGCCTGTATTTATATACTTTCCATGTTTTTAATATATAATTTTTTTCATCCACCTCTTGAATTTTGAAATCAACTTTCTTAATTTACTAATAATCATTACAATATTTTTATTATGGCTATGTAAATACTTTTTTTGTATTTGCTTTTTTATTTCTCCAAGTTTTCTACAATTCAAACAAACTATGAGTATTATTTTGTATTAAATATTTACTGTTATCGTTCCTCCTTTCTTATATACGCACTACTTGCTATTTTCAATCATTATAATCAACAAGGGTTCACGTTTATTTCTAGGAAATTTATGTTTTCACTTTTCGCTAAGTTAAATAAAAAAAAATTTCGATTTTTGAATTATTATTGTTATTTAACACAATACAGTAATAGAATAACAGAATATTAAAATTCTACAATTATTTCTGCCGCTCCTCCAATGTAAGATATTATTTTTACGTATTATGGTAGGTAGCACGCAAAAAATAGAAATATGTATTTTTTTTAAAAGATCTGTAGGACACAACTTTAGTAAAGTCGATTCACATACATATTATGTGTGTACCTATGTAAGTACTTTTATCGATATCTAGCCCTTAATTTTATTACAAATTTTACATGTTTTTTAATTAATATTTTCGCACTACTTACACAATTTTATGAACTCATTGCGTATGGTTCCTTCTTTTAAGGAGACATTTTTTTATGCCATGAGATTTTTTATTACTGAAAAGTTAGTGGTAGGCTGAAAATTTCCTACATCCGAACTCTGTAGCATAAGCTCTTCTTTTACGGCACAGAAATTGTAGAAAAATGGTTACTTTAATTCTATTTACTCCATAACATTTTTGTATTTCTTGATTGAATTTCTATACATTTGGATTTTTCACGAAACTCACGTTTCTTGAATGAATTTTCAATTTTTTTTTTCGCTTTTGGTTTTTTAATAACATTTTCATAAGTTTTCATGTATTAAATTTTGTTGAAATGCGTTTTGTAAGGAAAATATAGGGGATTGACAAGGATATTATAGAAGTTTCGCCTCCATTCTTGAATTAAAATTCCTATTATTTTTTTCATTTCTATTTTAATGTCAAGTTATTCATCCGTCAGTTTCATTAATTTGGTTAAAAAAACAACACTAGAAAAAATAAATTTAAGCGGTAATAATAATGCGATGGAGTCGCACATTAAATTGAAAAATTTTTGGGTAAAAAACGAATATAAATTTTCAAATTTCCTTCTTTTATTTTATATGAGGGATAATTTTCATAAGTTAAATGTGTTGTTTTATACTTTTTTATTTTCTTGTTAAATTTTTTACCCTTAGATTTTTGTTGGTTACAAGAACAATTTCTTTCGTTAAAGTTTGTCTAATAGAAAAGTAGGCAAAAGGGTGAATAAATTTGATATTGAAAGTTTTCATAGAAAAATTATGAAATTGAATTCCTTAAAGAAAATTTATGAATTTTATTATTAATGAACCTATCTATATTGGCGCACATATTCAGGTGCTTAATTATAAAAGTTCAGGAATAAACTTTATTTTTTTTTGTATGTATTACACAAACAAAAATAAAGTTTTGGTCGGCTAATTTTGAAAGTCGCAAACTCTCAATAATTGCTAACTAAATGGAAGTTTTTAGAAAACTGGTAAAATTTAAATGTATGTATGTAAAAAATTTTATTTAACGAAAATATTTATAGTCAGCGCAAAGCTTTTAATTAGTGTTTGGCGATTCTATACAACTAAATTTTCGCATTGCAAACTTACAAAAATACCGTTTTGTATTCATTCTTATGTATGTATATTTTATGTTTTGTTTTTAGGATGTGCTAATACGCCCGATACTAATTTCAAGCAAATTTATCTGAAAGGAATAATAGAGTCAAATAAGGCCATCGCATCGGCACACAGCATGATCATACTTATTTTACTTATTTTTTTTGAAGGGATTATGAATTTTCAATGTAAGTAAATGAAAGTACATGTTCAGCAAGTACATAATATGCATTTAGAAAGCAGAAGCAGAGTTTGCAATTTTACGGAATTTTTGGACGTTCAGAAGTGGCATAAACGGCAATTAAATTTTTGGTGGAAAGTTAAAATTAATTTTGCACAAACTTTTCGACCTTTATTCTTATATTTCGACTAAATTTAATATTAATGAGTACCTGTTCTAAGAACAAAAGTCCTTGAATTTTTGTTCTTGTTTTCATATAACTTGTTTTCTTGTTTTAGTTCTTATTTTAGCACAAAATTCCCAAAAATTTTTATTTGGATTTTTCTAGTTTTTTTTTGAACTCTAAAGTGTCTATAAATTATAATAAAGATTGACTAATTACAGGTAAATTTATTATGATGATAATAATGGTGGCGATGGTGGTAGTAGCGATAATTACGGTGATGATGATGGTAATGATTAAATCAAAGTCAACATTTTTTTGTTTTTGTATTGTTGTTCTTTAACTTTATTATTCCTTTTGTACCTTTAATAAATAACTTCAAAGCCGAAAGGAAAGAAATATTTCCTTTTAATTTGTTCAGATTTATTTGTTTTATTGCATGCCATTTTACTTTAAGAGCTTTCCGTTCTGCTACCATTAGAATTTTTCAAAAGAGAAGTATTTTAGATATGTAAAAGGGAAGGTAAATTCGAATACTCATGTAAAGTAAAGTGTTTACTTTAGACTATACAGAAATTCTTTGCTATAAAGGAATTTACGTTTAGAATTTCGAAATAAAAATGTTTAACGTTTTCATACATGTATGCGTGTATTAATTGAAGTGTATATGTTAAAAAAAAGAATAAGAAGTTTGATTTTTGTGTATAATTTGGAAAAAAGAGAACAATTTTTTTTCTGTTAATTATCCTTTAATTACTGTTGAAATATATTTTTATGGTGGTTGTTTTTACCGACAAAACGGAATAAGATCAAATGTCAAATTATAATTAGAAGGTAAAAAAAATTTAACATGAAGAAATACGCAAGTTCATGTTTTTTTGCGTTAAAATGGAAATAAAATTAAGGTTAAAGTAAATACCAAGTAATTTGTATTTAAAGTTAATGAAGAGTTTGATATTTCGATAAAGATATATTAAAAAATACTTATGATAAGTAGTAAATATTGATATAATGTTTTGATAATGAGGAAAATAATAATTAAGCGTTAATCAAGATATTTTAAATAAGCGTTAATCAAGAAAAAAAAAACACATTTACTCTGATTTATTGGCGTTCATTGTACGGCAGTATTTTGTAATGCAAAATCCGGCGCGATCTAAAATTCAAAACCCTGTTTTAATTTCGATTCATTAATTTCCCGGTGAACTCGTTTTCCATATTGATAAAAGTTTTAGCAAAGTTGAGGTGAAATTAAGCACTAAAATGTGAGAAGACCACAATTTGCTATTGCCATCGCTTTTATCGACATTATACATATTTATAAGCATTTTAGCGACGTATATTTGATAAACATTAGTGTTCTACCAGGTTTAGTTTTGGGATTATCTTTGCTTTAAATTTACATAAACTCGCTGTTTGATCAACCGCTTTAAGGAGTGGAAATTGGTTT